CTTCGAACTCCCACAGCTATGCAAAGATTACAAATCATTATTCCCTCAACCAGATTCCTACACTCGCATAAAATAGACAACTTAATTCGACAGCCATCTGAATCACTTATTATATTAGTCACCCGATTAGTCCTTAATATTTCCGATCAATCTCTTAGTCGTCCCAGTCAGTGCCACCTATTCACTACGAGCTTCCTCCACTTGGCATATATACAACCCACCTCGAGACTACTTCCTTTCTGATGCATTTGTAAACCTTTGTTAATTCTTTCTTCAAGTTATCCATGACCTATCTTTTCCGGAGCCCTCCTTCCAACCGAACTCTCCGCGTAGGAACCCCGCTCACCGCTCCCCAAGTCTAAAACTCATGAACAGCTTTGAAAAGAGGAAACTGTATTTCAAAGTGCACAAAATCCACTAACACTAATACCATTTTATACTCTCGGTATGGCAAAAATCAAAGTCATTCCCAAAAACATTGAGATTAGTCGACAAGAAGCTCACTGAGCCACCTTTTCCATCCAACTTATCAGTAAACAAATAGTCACTCATTTCATCAGTACCTCAATTTCGCATAAGACTAACTTATTCTCACACTTATGTCTTTTTCTATAGGTTAGGTAAGCAATCACATGAGCTTCCATTACTTTATTGAGGCTCCAAGAGGGAATCAATATGCGGCAACTAGAAAAAACTCAAAGAAAACATGTATCCTCATATGGCAAAGATAAAACTGTGATTAACAAAGATGACAGGATCTTTCTATCACCTGGCTAGTGCTGACACAAGAATACAACTTCATTTGTAGGGCGAACAGACTGTTGTGAGGCATCAGCAAAGGAACAAAGATAAGGACCCCTTGTCAATGACTCATGTCAAATAAGTGACTTTATGACTTGGAAAAAGCAAAGCCATGGCAATACTTGGTAATGTCGAAGGCCTGAGGCTTTTTTAGGACTAGTTGGTTCTGAATAACCAACAAGTTAGAGGAAAAGCGGAAATGGAAATCCATTTGACTTCGGGGCGCCGGCAGCCAAGAGAGACCGTCGGTGGAATCGATATGGCCCCGCCTGTCGGCTGCTGCGTCATGCGCCCCGTTACCAACCTCTTTTAAACACTCGAATTTCGTCTATACTCACAACTTAAGCCCTTTTTTCTTTTCTCATCAACCACTTCAAGCAAATTTAGATTTTTTATTGGTCATTTCTCGCTTGTCATCCCAACACTTCTCTCCCTTCAGTTCTATCATCGACGACGAATTTCCGACCCGAAAACCGCTTGTTCGTTGCTTGGTACCCTCTCGAAGTTTGCTCAAGCAGAAGAGCCTCTTTTGCGTGAATGCCGTTCTATTATCGGGCAGCATGGCCCCTTACCTACTACCTGTGATGCAACCTTAGTGCACTTCCCATCTGACAATGTGAACCACACAAAAGTTGTATCACAGGTAGCCTTTAAAGTCCTATTGTGTCTCAGGAACTTTTTCGACACTCTTCTCCCAGAAAACTTTCACTTTATGCATTTCCAACTTTTATTCTTCACATCCTCCACTCCAATGCACAGCCAGAGATCTTTACTTCCATCGGTTGATTATGATAAAGTACAACACAACATGAATTTCAGCATAATGTACAACAATGATTGATGAATATATGGGCAGGTACGGGTAGCATAAGTTCTCAATGTCAATTCCCTTTATTCCAGAAAATCAAAACGACACAAGATTGCAGTAGAAAAAAATTTGTGTCAGCATGTGAAGTCAAAATTGTAAAGGCATCATAGTTGTGATAACGTAATTAAGTTACAATCATGAAATTGATGAATACTAGAACACCTAGGGCGGGGGAGCGACCTTTTGTCCCGGTTGCGGCTGGCCCTTCTTGTTCATCAAGTAACGGTGAATATGTGGGATAACTCCTGAAAATTTGTTCATTCATTCAGACGTGATTTGAAAACTACTCCAGTGTAGGGGATACAAACCTCCTCCAGCAATAGTTGCTTTGATGAGCGTGTCGAGCTCTTCATCGCC